TGGGGGTCGTGGAGAAGCCAGTATCTGTGTCTGGCATGCTGATCTGTTAGACATGCCAGGGGGAGTCCATTATCTCGTCACATGTCTGCATGTATCCGATCCTGGGCTCTCTCTGACCTAACACCTTGGTTGCAGACTCTTCCCCAGCCCAGGCCCTGGTCTGGCTCGTGCAGGAGGCAAGCAATCGACGTGTTTCTCTCACATCGATGTTTCTTTCTCTGTCCCTCTCTCTTCCACTCTTCCTAAAAATCAATGGAAAATATCCTTGGGTGAGGATTCACACAAAAATAAAATAACATAAAATGATTTGCCCACCCAGTGTGACTCGGTGGTTAAGCATCAACCCAGGCACCACATGGTTAATGGTTCAATTCCCGGTCAGGGCATATGCCTGGCTTGTGGGTCTGACACCCAGTAGGGGGCGTGCAGGAGGCAGCCAATCAATGTTTCTCTATTCCTCTTCCTTCCTCTCCCTCTAAAAGTCAATAAAAACATTTTTTTTAAAGAGTAAAATGTTAAACCTGGGAGGTATTAATTGAATATAACATGTTTGTAGGACAAACCATTACAAGAAAGAATTGCGCAGGAATCTTTACTAGTCCTTATCTGTTACCTTAGATTTGTAAACATCTTGGAGGAGAGGGTTTCTTTCCTAATGTGCCCTGAATTCTTCCCTTCATGCGGAAGCTCTCCCAGGACATGGGTGTCTGTCCTTAGTGTTTCTAACCAGCTGATGACCCAAAGCCTTTTAAAGTAATTTTCCCTGTGAGTGCGTTTTCTAAGAGACAAATCACCCTTTATTTTGCTACGTTTGTTTCCCTTTCCTGTATCGTGGTCTTGCACTCTTCTCTTTGCCCTGCATGTAACAAAAGAGAACGTGAAAATCCTGTAGAGAAAACACCCAGTGATCGAACTCGGCTCTGAGTAAGGGTGACGCCTTTCTTCTGCGCATGGGCCGTGAGCTCGGTGGCTCCGTCTGTACACTGTCGGCCAGCACAGTGTGGAAAGGAAGCTGCTTCGTCGGTTGCCACATTGCATCAGGGGCCTTTACCTGACAGTTTCCAGCTTCTCTAATCAATGCCTGGGCTTCCTCAGCCCGTGGAGAGCAGCTGCCTCTAGACCAGGGGTCGCCAACCGGTGGTCCGCGGACCACTGGTGGCCCGTGAGGTCCAAAAGGTTGGCAACCGCTGCTCTAGACAGTGCAACACCCCTCACCCCCCTGCCTGGGCCCCCTCTCCCCTGTGGTCCTCCGCCCGTGAGGGAAAGGTTGGCGACCGCTGCTCTAGACAGTGCCACACCCCTTACCCCCCTGCCTGGGCCCCCTCTCCCCTGTGGTCCTCCTCCCTTCCTGAGACTGGGCCCTTCTCATCCTGATTACACTATTGTTTCTCTTAGAACTGAGAAGTAGTTATGCATCTCGTTTCCCTGTTACAAGTAGAAAATAAAGGATCGAGCGGACTACTTTGTAAGATAATGACCCACTTGACTTATTTTTCTTACTCTGTGAGCCTCTGAGTTTATAGACTCAATAGACGAGGAGCCCACTGTGTTCCCCGCTGTGGCTACCACTGTCTAGTATAATTGCAGCCTCCTTCAGGGCCTGCTTTTGCTAATTCGCTGACAGTGACATAGCAACCAGAAGTATCTGTGCTTCCCCACAGGAGTTTCCTCAGACGGCCAGTGTTCTCTGCACAAAGATAAGTGCTCAGGAAAGTATAAATGAGGTAGCTGCTTGTTGCCAGGAGCGTTGTGTGTGCCTACCAGTGGTGTAGAACAGAAGGAGGGCCGCTCGGCCCTGGCAGAGCCTCACTCCAAACCCCGAGCACTGCAGCAGAGAAGGACCGGCTGCTTTGCTATGAGTGGCCCATCCGGGAGAGTGGGAAGCCCATGCGCAAAAGCCCGGCTCCCGATGGTGTGCAGGCTCCAGATGAAATAGGGCAAAAGCACAAGACACCGAGGGCTAGGGGTGCCCTGATTTGTTGGACCTGGGAGAAGTGGGGAGAAAGAGAGGAGGGGGAGTGATTTATAGAGCTGGGATCTAAAACTAAGTTTAATCAGTCATAAGGGCCCTGGGTTTGACCAGGGGAGATTTTTGCCTTCAGGCTTGTTTTTACTCTCACCCACGTACCCTCTCACCTGGCCTACCTGACTAGGTAAGTGGGTGTTTCCTAACGCGAATGCCACAGGACAGGCTGGGGATGTGGTTCAGAGAACGTGATGGTGACGTCATTCGGCCTGAGTGTCAGAAGACAACAGGGACGATGGTGGCTCACTGGGCATGCTTGCCCTGTCCCTGAGTAGGGTTTGCAACCAGCTGTTTTCTCATCCTTCCCAGCGTCCCCAGGGCTACGTGTCTCACACCTCTCCTCTTTCTCTCCTGTTTTCCATCAGGTGGCAGCAGACTTCCAAGTCTTCAGGGTTGTCCAGCAGCTTGCAGCCTGCGGGTGCCAAAGCTGATGCCCTCAGGGAAGAAATGGAGGAGGCTGCCAACAGAGTGGAGATTTGCAGGGTACCCCCTCTTTGTTCCTCTCTACTGAGACAGACGGGGGAGCCCTAAGGGAGTCCCTTTTTGTTCACGGGAGTTCTGTTAAAACCCTAAGGGTGAGCCTCAGCTTGAACTAACTGACCCCAGCTTGCCGGCCAGCGTCTGCAAAGAGCCGGGCATGAATCCTGAGAGCTGGGGCTCTGAGGGTGACATAGACAGGTGGGCAGCAGGGCTGATCATTGGTGTTCCTGCCTGGTAGGCAAAGAGAAAATGACTGTGGTGTCTGCTTGAAGCTTTTGTGAGTCGTGCATCCCAATTCATAGTTTCTAGGCTGCATAGCACAGTTGATCATTTCCAGGGGTGGGGATCGTCCAACCCAAGGGCCTGTAAAATCATTTGGTCTGGCCCTGCCAAGGCAGTAGGGGGGAGTTAATTAAATGTTTGACCAAATATAGCAGGCTAAGTTGATAATTTTGTATGGCCCATGATTGATGTTACAAATATCCAAATATACAGATGTTAGAATATTTATTTATTTACTTACTTATTTTTAAATATATTTTTATTGATTTCAGAGAGGAAGGGGGCAGGAGAGAGAGATAGAAACATCAGTGATAAGAGAGAATCATTGATTGGCTGCCTCCTGCACCACTCTCTACGGGGATCAAGTCTGCAACCTGGGCATGTGTCCTGACTGGGAATTGAACCATGACCTCCTGGTTCATAGGGTTGACACTCAACCACTGAGCCATGTCGGTTGGGCCCCACCCCTGATTTAGACGACACATGAGCCTTAGCTCACTGTTGGTAAATTACCTCGGGTGCCTTTTAATATTTCCCAGTCACTTTATCAATCCCTCGCTGCTGGGAGACTCTTCCCTACCTCGTCCAGGAGGTAGTCCCGGAGGAGAAAAGTTCCCAGCTGAGAGGAATGCCTCCTGAGAAGCCCACCTCCGCACTCAGGGGTGGGGGAGACCTTCATCACACGTGGTCAGATGTGTCCCGGCCGCTTCCCCCACAGACGTTTCATAGGACTGACAGCAGTACCATTCGTGCAATGCCATTAGCAGTGCCATTCTCTGTGCATGGACATCTGCAAATGTACAGATCTGTTAGTTTGGGGGTAAAGGTCATGCTTCTGGAACTGTGCTGGGAACTGCTGTCTTCATCACAGTTTTAGGGGAAAAGTAGTCCCTCTGCATGCAGATGCCTCTGTTCTGTGCAGCTCTGTCTAGTCTGTTAGCTTGTCCACCAACTTCTCCTTTATGATCACCCCGTGCAGCTGACTTTGACCTTGCCTTCAGGTGACACTCAGAGTCAGGTGGAACTTCTCTCTGGAATTAGAAACATTGAAAAATGTTTAAAGAATTAATGATCTCGCCCAGCCCATGTGGCTCCCCGTGATTGAGCGTCGACCTATGAACCAGGAGGTCATAGTTCAATTCCGGTCAGGGCACATGCCCGGGTTGCAGGCTCAATCCCCAGTATGGGATGGGGAAGGCAGCTGATCAATGACTCTCTCTCTCATCATTGATGTTTCTGTCTCTCTCTCCCTCTCCCTTCTCTGAAATCAATAAAAATATATTAAAAAAAAAGAATTAATGATCTCAGCCTGCAGTACTGTACAACCAAGTGAAGTAACTCCAGTAGTTCAGGGGTTTTGGCAGACGTACAGTGACATGCATTCACCACTGTTGTGTCACACAGAACAGGTTCCCTGCCCTACAAGTCCTCTGTGCCTGATCACCCCCACCCTCTCCCCGACCCTGGCAAGCACTGGTCTGCTCACGGTCTCCACTGGTTTGCGTTTTCCAGAATGTCGTGTAGCTGAATCGTGGTCAGGGGCCTTCTCAGGCTGGCTTCTTTCACTTCCTGTCTCTCCACTTAATGCCTTTCACTTAATGTCTCCATGTCTTTTCATGGCTTAATTGCGCATTGCTTTTTAGTGCTGAATAATATTCCATTTTCTGTATATACCACAGTTTATTTATCTTCTTACCTACTAAAGGAGATCTTGGTTGCCTGCAGGTTTTGGCAATTACAAATAAAGCTGCTGTGAACATCTGTGTGCAGGTATTTGTACATTTGCAATTAATTTGGGGTAAAAACCAAGAAGCCTAATTTCTGGATCTTGTGGTAAGAGTATCTTTCATTTTGTAAGAAACTTCCACACTGAGTCCCAAAATGGTCCTACCATTTCGTAGTCCAGTAACAAATGAGAGTGGCTTTGTTCCGCATCCTTGACAACAGGTGGTGGTGTCAGTGTTTTGAAGTTCAGTGATTCTAATAGTGCTATCTCATTGTTATTTTAATTTGCAATTAAAATCCCAATATCACTTTGGGATTTTCCCTGCTAGCTTTCCGTATGGACTTCTAATTTCATTTCATTGTGGTCAGAGAGCAGGTATTATATGATTTCTATTTTTTTAAACTTGGTAAGGTGTATTTTATAGCCCAGAATGTGGTCTCTCTTGGTGAATGTTCCCTGTGAGCTTGAAAAGAATGTGTGTGCTGCTGCTGTTGGATGGAGTAGTCTATAGATATCAGTTATACCTGCTCGATTGATTATGCCGTTAAGTTCAACCATGTCCACACTGATTTCATGCCTTCTGGCGTGTCTATTTCTTATATGAGGGTGATAAGTCCAACTATAAGAATGGACTCCTATTTCCTCTTACAGTTGTATCATTTTTGCATTACGTAGTTTGATGCTCTGTGGTTAGGTACATCATTAAGGGTTGTTATGTTTTCTTGTAGAATCAGCCCTTTGTCATGATGCATGATTCCTCTTTATCCTGATACTTTCCTTGCTCTGAATTCTGCTCTGTGGGAAATGAATATAGCTGAGCCCGCTTCTTCTGATTAGTGTTAGCATGGTGTATCTTTCTCTATCCCTTTACTTTTAATTTATATATTGATACTTAATATATAGATGGTGATATGTATCTTTATATTTAACCTGAGTTTCTTATAGACAACATACTTGGTCTCTTTTTAATCTATTGTGACCATTTCTGTCTTTCCATTGGTGTATTTATTCAGTCCATTGATATCTAGGAGATCATTGATATAATTGGATTGATATCTGTCATATTTGTTATTTTTCTAGTGTTGCCTTTGTACTTTGCTACTATTTTGGTCCTCTACCTTTTTTTTCTGCCTTTTGAAGTTTTAATTGAACATTTTTTTATGGTTCCATTTTTTTCTCCTTTTTTAGCATATCAATTACATTTCTTTTTCTTTTCTTACCTTTTTAGTGGTTGCCCTGCAGTTTGCATTATACATTTACAACTAATCCAAGTCCACTTTTGAGTAACACTTTTCTGCCTCACATGTAATGCAGGTACCTTTTAGTAACAAACTATTTCTAATTCCATCCATTTCACTTATACATAAGCATACATAGCATAGATATCTATGTATGTTTACACACACATGTATACATGCATTGTTGCTATTATTTTGAACAAACATATCTGTTAGGTCCATTAAGAATAAGTTTATTTTATCTTTACATATTCCTTCTCTGATTCTCTTCCTTTATGTAGAGCTACGTTTCTGACCAATATAATTTTCCTTCCACTGAAGAAATTTTTTTAACATTTCTTGCAAGGCAGGTCTACCGGCAACAAATTCTCTCAGTTTCCATTTGTCTGAGAAAGTCTTTAGTTCTTTACTTTTGAAGACTAATTTGACAGGGTGCAAAATTCGAGGTTGGTGGGGATTCTTGTTTGTGTTTTTATCTTAACACTTCTCTCTCTTCTTGGTTTCTGAGAAGTCAGATGTAATTCTTATCTTTGCTCCTCTGTGGGTAATATGTTTCTCCTCTGTGGTTCTTTCAAAAATTTTTTTTTAATATTTTTTTCTGAATATGATATGCCTATATGCACCTTTTTTGTTGTGTGTGTGGGGGGGGGTATTTATCCTGTTTGGTGTTCTCTGAGCTTCCTGGACCTGTGGTTTAGTTTCTGACATCCACTTGGGGAAATTCTCACTCGTTATTTCTTCAAATGTTGCTTCTGTTCCTTTCTTTCTTCTCTTCCCTCTAGTATTTCAGCCAAGCATATGTTACACATTCGGAAGTTGCCCCACAGTTCTCATGTATTCTGTTCCCTTTGTTCCTGTCTTTTTTCTCTGCTTTTCAGTTTTGAAGTTTTGTTGTCATATCCTCTAGCTCTGAGGTCCTATCTTCAGTCATATCCAATTTGCAGACAAGCCCATCAAAGGCTTGGTTTACTTATGTGACAGCATTTCTTTTCTTTTTCCTTTTTAATGTATAGCATCCATCCATATGTTCTTGCATGTTGTCGACTTTTTCCATTAAAATCCTTAGCATATTAATCATAGTTTAAAAACATGTTCCTAGCCTGATAATGCCGGCATTTTTGCCATATCCAACCCAGGCTGTGATGCTTGTTTCATTTCTTCAATCTGCTTTTTTGCAGTTTAGTATGAAAAAGGTGGGTGTGGCGGAGTGGGTAAAGGGAACTGTGGTAGCTGGGCCTTGAGTGACAGGGCGGGGAAGGTGGGGGAAGGGGAGGGCTCTGCTGTCCTAGGAGTAGGTCTGTCTCCCAGAGAGGCCTGTGCTCCAGGCTTTGAACTTCACCAGTGCTTCTCGGTTGTTGTTGTTTCAGATTCTGTGGTTTGTTAGTTTTTGTTTTAGATTTAGGAGGGACAGGCTGGCTAGGGATTGGGTATTTCTCCTTCCCAGTGTCTGAAGGCTAGACCCTGATAGAACTGAGTATTTCCCTTCCCCCAGGTCAGGCTCTGATAACCCCCCTGTAGGGCCCTCGCTGGTTTCTCAGTGGGTTTGGCTCAGTGGATAGAGTATCGGCCCGTGGACTGAAGGGTCATGGGTTCGATTCTGGTAAGGGTGTGTACTTCAGTTGCAGGAGGCAACCCATCAATGTCTCTCTCTCACTTCGATGTTTCTCTCCCCCTCCCTTCCACGCTCTCTAAAAAATCAATGGAAAAAGATCCTCAGGTGAGGATTCACAAAAAACAAAAAACCTAGGTTAGGCTCAGATGAAAGACTTTCTCCTGAGGGTAGGCCTTGCTAAGAGGAATAAAATGCTCAAGTGCTCAAAGCTGTTCCTTTCCCCTCCCCCTTGTTGAAAGCTGGAGAGGGTTTCTCTGATGTTCACTGTGAGGACTCTGTGTTGTGAGTCTCACCGCAGTGACTGGGTGTCCCCAGAGTTTAACCATCAGACATGTGCACACGGGGCCTCAGCGATGGTCAGACCATTCTGGTTCTGCTCAAGTGTGTGATTCTCTTACTCACCTGCTTTCTCCACTTCGGGGGCAGTGGTTTGCCGTGTGACCTCACTTCTCTGATGGAGCAGAAAAGCTGTTGATTTTTCAGTTTGTTCAGCGTTTTACACGTTGCTGGTGGTGACTTCTGATCTTGCGAGCCAGACTGGAAACCAGAAGTCAGTTATAAAGATCAAGGTTATACTCTCTGCCAAGAAAAAGTATTTAAGAGAGAAGTATATAAATATCTTAGGGATTGTGTTAACAACAGGAATATTCAAAATCCTACAATAATATCATAATGTAGGATAATTATAAAATAGGACTGAGCAAATCAAAGTCTATAAAATTGAGAGATGTTCCTAGATGAGAAAAGTCAATGTTATCAAAATTTTAATTCCCCCAGAACTGTGTAAGTTGATATAATTGTAATAAATGCTTCAAAGGGTAATAAAGGGTTTCTAAAGTTAATGTGGGAGAATTATTGGAGCTTTGAATTTCTGTCTCTTACAATGTATTGTGAAGTTACATAATTAAAATGTAGGTACTATTTTTAAAAAATATATAGAAAGGGGGTGTGGGGGAGAGGGAAGACATCCTAGTCAGAAGAAAATCTAAGTGAGTGAGAAGGTTTATCTGTGACATTTCAAATTCATGGAGACAGTCTGTTCTGTTTGTGAACAGTATTGAGACCTTTGGTTAGCTCTTTAAAAAATTCTGTATCTGATATAAGTACTAAAGTAAGTTCCAATGTATTAAAGATGTAAATGTTATATTCTTCACTGAACATATATATGAATATTTATACTGTTGGTTGAGGTGCCCTAAGCAAATTAGCAAAGGAGGAAATCATAGAGTGAAAAATGTAATAGACACTACCACATGGAAGAGCCATTAAAAAAGTATAGGACCGAAAAAAGTTGCAAATAGTGTCAAAAGATAAATGGAAAATTGGGGAAAATATTAGCAGCATTTGATTAAGCTCTTGGTCTCATCCATCTAAAGAATTCTCACAAATCTTATATATAAAGTCTTCTACAGAAAAATGGGCACTTAATGTCAACAAGGAATTGACACAAATAGGTAATACATTTAGAAGAAAGTTAACCTCTTAAAAAAGCCAACTACAAATTAGGAACATATTTAAATTTTATCTATAAATTTGATTGTGTTTAAACAGAATTAAGCAATTACTGTAAAAACAAATATTTATGGATTAATTCTTATAGTAAAAAATGTTTTTTCTGATGGTTGACAATATACTATATCAAAAGCCCTAATGTCCCAACTCGTTGTCATCTTTCTAATATTTTTAAATTTAACTATAAGGAATTATATAATCAAAATTAATTTTAACTGCAGAATTTATCCTAAGGAAATAATCAAGAGATGGATGCAAATCTGTATAAACAAATACTTATTCAAATGTCATTATAGTGGGAAAAACTAAAAACACAATATCCAACAATAGAAACCTAGTCCATCCATTTATTAAGTATAAAACATGCTTTTCTAGGAGTAAATGAGCTACAAAGCATCCTGGCCTCTTTTTTGTAAGCCAAGTGATCATACAAACATGGGCCAATTAACATAAATGCTGACTAAGCACATCACAGCTTATGGCCATTATCTCTGCTGTTGGGGTTACTGGTGGGCGGGGTTAATTACTTGGTATTTTTCCAAGTGTCGATTAATGCAAAAATCAGCAAACAAATGATTTTTAAACACATTTAAATCTGGTGATTATTGATGGAAGTTGTTTTCTTTATAGAAAATTCACTGATGGTTTAGGTGCATGGAAACTCTGTTTGCAGTGTCACTGTCTTTCTGCTGTGTGGCTCTTTGGGAGGCCACGTTGCTCACTTAATAAGGCCGTCGTCTGACTGTGCCTTCGGAACTCCTGTCTGTCTCCGAGGGCACACACGGGTGGTCGGCTTCTCTAAACTCTGCTGGTGAAGATGCAGTTGCCCTGGCGTTGGTCCTTCCTGGGGTCTCTTCCTCTGTCTGCAGAGCCATGCATCACCCAGCCCTTGTTTTTCCCTGACTTGGCGTCGCTCCCTCATGCTACAATAATGGTGTCTGCTGGACCTGCCGGCGTGGGGAGGCTGATTCCCCGCAAATCTGCTTTCTCCTGACCCTTTGGCAGACTGGGCAGCCCTATGAAGGCATTCGCTATCGGGATGCTCTGGCGAAAGGGAGCTGAGGGGGGTCTTAGGGCCCATGCTGTTCTTCGGGAAAGCTTCCCTTGCTGAGCTCCATTTCTTCATTTGTTCTCACAGCAAATAGTATTGAGCCCCTACTGTCAGAAGCACGTTTGAGACCTAGGAGGACAGACAGATAAGATCCTTGAACTCTTGGTACCTGCTCCTCTGAATCTGGAAATCCCACACATACCTAAGAGATGAGCATTCCATGTGGCAGGAGAATCCCATGTGACGTGCCTGGTGCCTAGATGGTTCCTAGTGCATGTTAACTCATTGGTTCCCTTTCTTCCTGGTCTGAAACTGGCCCAGGACAGCTTGGCCTCCTCTGTGCTCCAAGCTCAGAGAACACACTTCCCCTTTAGCTCGGTGCCTTGGTCCTGTGTCTCGTGGACAAGAGCCCTCTGAGGACGTGCCCACAATGCTTGCCTGGAGAAGGACACAGGAGACCGGGAAAGGACACAGATGGCTCCGCACATCCTAGCCGTCTCACTAGGAATGGGCTTAACTGGCAGTTGCGGGGCGGGGTGGTGGGTTGGGATAGAACAGGAGGTTCCGTGAAACAGGCTCTCCCTGCAGCGTGGAGCTGCCGGCTTTAACTCACTCAGTATCTGGGTCAGCTTCTTGTGCTGGTCTCCCGTTCACCTCCAAGGGAACATTCTAGACCCTTCTCTCCTCCACTTAGTATTTCTTCTCAAGATCTACCTGAGGCAACCCAACAGGGAGGAGTTTGAGAGATCATGTGACTTGCGCAACGGTGCTCAGAGACGTGATTAGTGGCGAGACTCCGTCCTGCTCGGGTGTGCTTGCTTGTCCCTCCTGTGATGTTTCTGCAGAACTGAAAATGGTTCTCTGAGGAGAACACATTGCAAGTCAGACACAGCATCAGGCCATTGCACCATCTTGTGAAGCACAGGACAGTTAGCACTGGATTTGCATGCGTGTCAGCTGAGTCAAGGTTCTGATATGTTCTGAATCAGCAATCCTTCCCCTGCCCACCTGTCTTATCCAACTTCTTCGCAGTTGGTGTGCTGCTGTCTCTTTCTCATATGCTGCTTATCAACCAATCAGTATTGAGAATGAAGGACAGCAAAGCAGTAACGTTCACCTCCAAGGGAACATTCTAGACTCTTAACTCCTCCACTTAGTATTTCTTCTCAAGATCTCCTACCTGAGGCAACCCAACAGGGAGGAGCTTGAGAGATCATGTGACTTGCGCAACGGTGCTCAGAGACGTGATTAGTGGCGAGACTCCATCCTGCTCAGGTGTGCTTGCTTGTCCCTTCTACGATGTTTCTGCGGAACTGAAAATGGTTCTCTGAGGAGAACACATTGCAGGTCAAACACAGCGTCGGGCCATTGCACCATCTCGTGGAGCACAGGACAGTTAGCACTGGATTTGCATGTGCCTCAGCTGAGTCAGGTTCTGCTATGTTCTGAATCAGCAATCCTTCCCCTGCCCACCTGTCTTATCCAACTTCTTCGCAGTTGGTGTGCTGCTGTCTCTTTCTCATATGCTGCTTATCAACCAATCAGTATTGAGAATGAAGGACAGCAAAGCAGTAAAATAATCAGAGACGAAATGAGAGAAGGAAGAGCAGACAGCACAGTTTATACTCAGCAGCTGCTTCCCAGAGGTGGTGTAAGCTGCAGAGGAGTGGGAGTAGCTTGCACATCACCCCCACACCAGCTTTCCTATCTCCCAACGAGGACCCCGTGTTGAAATCCTTTGGGAACCCCTGGCACAGGTGTTCCGTTCACACTTGCCATTCCCTGGGCCGAGGTCAGGCAGCATGGAAATGTCCAGGGCAGAGTTTGTGACATGTCAGGTTTTATTGAAAACTAGAGGCCCGGGCACGAAATCATGCTTGGGTGGGGTCCGGCCGGCCTGCCCCGATAGGACTAATTGGGCCGGGCTGGCCGGGGTGAGGGGCCGCAGGCAGTTGGCTGGCTGGCCGGTCCCCTGGTTGAACTCCCGGTCGAGGGGACAATTTGCATATTAGCTTTTTATTATATAGGATATTATATAGGATGAGATTGAACCTCAGAGGGAAGGCAGGGATGAGAGGGGGTGGGAAGAGATCAACCAAAGAGCTTGTATGCATATATATATAACCTAAGGACACAGACAATAGGGTGGTGAGGACCTGGGGAGGGGACATAACTTATGGACACAGACAATAGGGTGGTGAGGACCTGGGGAGGGGGGTGGGAGTGAGCTAGAAGGGGTCATTGGGGGAATAAGGGACATACATAATACTTTCAAAAACAAAGATTTTTTTAATATTAAAAAAAGAAAAGATGAGATTGAACCATGTGAAGGCTTGTTCTTCTCTGAGGTCTGGACCCATGCATTAGCCACTCTATCATTTCACCTTGGTTGTGCATTTTACCTCCGCAGGACCAGCTGTCAGCTGACATGTACAGTTTTGTGGCCAAAGAAATCGACTATGCAAACTACTTCCAAACGGTAAGGGTCCATGAAGGTGAGACAGCTTACAGTCTGTTTGTAAGAGTCCTGGTGCGGACAGGAAGGAGTGTGGGCGTGGGACTGAGGCCCCGTGGCTGAGCATGTGACGGAAAAGAGCGGGATGTGACTGTTGTACCTGTGAAAAAACCCTACCTTCTCTTTCTCCTTGTATGGAAACCACCCCCCCTAGAAAACCCTTAAAGCAACCTCATTCATGAAGGTCATTGCAACTCAGAGGTCTGTGCAGTGGCTCCCAGGCCGGGATGGTTTTGCTGCCTCCTCCAGGAGACATTTGGCAATGACTGGGGACATTTTTAGCTGCCACCTTTGGGGGAGGTGCTATTGGCATCTAGTGGGTAGAGGTCGGGATACTGCTAAGCATCCTGCAATGCACAGAGCAGCCCGTACACAAAGAATTTTCCAGACGGAAGTAGGGCCAAGCCTGAAAACCCTGGTGTATCATAAACAAGGACCTGGGAAGATGGTAACCCCGCCCCCCAGCACAGATTAGTTTTAACCTGGGTTTTTGCCAGGATGATGACAGGTAGGTAAACGATGATTGGTGTGACCTGTTTGCCTTCTTCTGGTTGAGGAAAGCAGGTTTAAAGAGAGAGAAACAGGATCTGAGTTGAGAAAAAGTATAAATTAGAAATAGGGAAGTGACGGGATGATAAGAAAGATAAAGAGAAGGAACGGGCGGGGGGGCATCCTGAGAGGTTGAGGGTGCTTCGCTAAGTGTGCGAATGGCTGTGGGCTGTCGGCCATCTTCCAGCACTTCCATCAGTGGACAGAAGTCCAGAGGTGTGTCCTCTACCCTGAAAAAGCAGATATGCATTCCTTCCAACCTAGAAAGTTATTTTGAAGGAGTAATATACTTTCAAGTATACTCCATTGCTTTTGTTGGTGAAGGTAATATTCAACTTCAGGGTTGTTAAAACTAATGAAATGTTGACATTGCAAGCATTATTAGGCTGCCTAATTGTCATTTGTATGCCATTTATTTCAATATTCTGATTTTTTAAAAATTCATTTTATTTTTAGTTGGAAACAATAGTATCTACCCTCCACACTAAGCGTTTAAATTGTGAGTCATTCTCCTTCCCTCATAGATGCCCCGTTTTTGAGGGGGAAGGAGGAGTTCAGAAGATAAATGAAGTAACTATTGCTCACAGGTTTTCCTCGACTCTTAGCCACAGTTCAGCAGCTGTTTTAGCAGTGGGATGGCCAACATAGCTGGGAGGGACTGTTCCGGGAGCCATATCATTATAACCAAAGCAATTTTACCTCCCTAGGGACTTGCAGAGGATTGTGGGTCAAGACACAAGTTTCTGATCAGTTATATCTTTGCAGAAAACAAGATGTGTTGTGTGTGTGTGTGTGTGTGTGTGTGTGTGTGTGTGTGTGTGCGCGCGTGCGCGTGCGCATTGGTTAATGGCCTTTAGCTCTAATAGGCAAATGGATTTCTCAATGTGGTTTTCATTTATATCCTCCTATCATCTTACCTCTCTGTGTTGCCTTTTGCTTTGGGGGGGTGCTTGGTATGGTAAGATGGCAGGAAAGGCTAGCTCTCTAGGTCGAGCTCCAGCTCTGGGGTCCCCCTCACCTGGACGGTTCTCCCACCTCCCACATTCCCACCGTGGCTGTTGCTACAGAGACTAAGGGGAAGTATGCCCATGGTTTTGGGTGATTGAGGAAGGAGTAGGGGCTCCACCCGCTTCCCTGAGAGTAACCAGCACCTTCAGGCAGAGAGCCCCAAGGGCGCAGCGGCCTGTGCTCCCCGGCCTTTGGCAAAGGGTAACACCTGCTCTTGTGTCTTCTCAGCTCATAGAAGTGCAGGCTGAGTACCACAGGAAGTCGCTGGCGCTCTTGCAGGCCGTGCTGCCGCAGATAAAAGCACAGCAGGGTGAGTGCACATCTGTGTGACTGGAGGGAGGGTTGGGCTGCTCGCCTTCCCAGAGGCCACCCCGGCCTGCATCCGTTCACCCTCCGCTCTCCCCACGGGTCACGTTCGATGGGCTGCCAGCACTTCACAGGCCGGTGCCTGGTCCAGTTGCGGTGAAGCCGAGCTCACACAGACCCACTGTCCCCGGGGATGAGGGGCTGTGGATGTGAGTGGAAGTGTGTGTTACCTGTTACGGGAGGCCCCACAGCCCTGCACACAGCCAGTTAGCATCTACCCTGCCCTGTCTTCTCAGTCACCCCAAACCACAGGGATGGAGGCTCAACTGGGCCTCCGTGTCTTTCGTGGTCTTAGGATAATCTGTATAAGAGGAAAGACATGGTCCAGCAGGCCTTCCTTCACTCACCCCTCACGGCCTCCTTTTTGCATCCCCCGCACCCCCCGCAGAGGCCTGGGTGGAGAAGCCGTCCTTCGGGAAGCCCCTGGAGGAGCACCTCACCATCAGCGGCCGGGAGATCGCCTTCCCCATCGAGGCCTGCGTCACGATGCTGCTGGAGTGTGGGATGCAGGAGGAGGTAGGTCCACACGGCCAGCCCCAGCCCTGGCAGCATCTTCTCTCCTGGCATCATCCCCACCTGGCCCCCAAAACCAAACATGGCAACATGGGGTACAGCCTCTCTCCTGCAGAGCCCAGATGGGTCCTGCTCTCGCCTATGAGCCTTCCCTTCACAGGGAGACTGATAACACTGGCCGTGAGGAACGTCCAGCCACAGTCCAGCCATTCCTTCTTCATGTTTGTTGTTGTTGTGATTAATCCTCATCCGAGGATATTTTTCCATTGAGAGAGTGGAAGGGAGGGGGAGAGACACATCGATTGGTTGCCTCCCGACCAGGGCCAGGGGTCGGGTCAGCTACCAAGGTACGTGCCCTTGACCAGAATCGAACCCAGGACCCTTCAGTCCAAGGGCCAACACTCTAACCACTGAGAAAAACTAGCTAGGGCTCCTTCTTCATGTTTAATATGAGTCTTGGCGGCTGCTGTTGCTTTGCCTTCGTTTTCCTCCTCCTTCCCTACTACTCCCCTTCCCCCTCCTCCTCTGTCTTCTTCCTAAGTTCCAATTTTTAAAATAGACCTTTTAGAATATATGCATCCCTACGTTCACTGCAGTGTTATTTGCAATAGCCATGGTTTGGAAGCAGCCCAGGTATCCATCAGTGAATGACTGGATAACAAATCTGTGGTACATTTACATAATGGAATACTACTTGGCCATAAAAAAAGAAGGAAATCTTACCTTTTATGGATGGACCTGGAGAGCATTATGCTGAGTGAAATAAGTCTTTCATGGAAAGACAAGTACCAGATGATTTCACTCATGTGGAACCTAATGAACAAAAAAACTAGCAAACAAAATAAAAACAGACTCATAGAGCCTGGCCACTGGGGCTCAGTTGGTTGAGCGCCGACCCATGAATCAGGTTCGATTCCCAGCCAGGGCACATGCTCAGTTGCAGGCTCAATCCCCAGTAGGGAGTGTGCAGGAGGCAGCTGATCAATAATTCTCTCTCATCATTGATGGTTCTATCTCTCCCTCTCCCATCCTCTCTCTGAAATCAATAAAACAGATAAACAAATAAAATAGAAATAGACTCATAGATACAGAGAACAGACTGACAGCTGTCAGAGGGGAAGGGGGTTGGGAGGAGGTAGGAACAGGTAAAGGGGGGATAAACAGTGATGAAAGGAGACTTGACTTGGTATGCTGGCCGCTCCCTCTATGTCAGGCTGTTCTGGATGCTGGCCATTCAAAAGGAATGAGAATAAGTGTCTTTTGACTAAGTTTTCAGTGCCAGGCATTTTCTCATGTTATCAATTCAAGATGAGAAGATCTGTAAGTCCCTGGGGCACAGTTTCATAGAGGGCCTTTTCCTTCCCATCATTTTTTTTTTAATTGTGGAAAAACTTAATGTTAAGATAAGCAGCCTCATCCCCTCGCTTGGGTCAGCCCTGTTCCATCGCCACTTCCACGTCCTGCCCCCACCCTGCTGTGGGTGTTTTGAAGCCACTCCCAGACATTATATCATCTCGTCTATAATACTGCAGTAGGTTTCTCCAGAAGATTAGGAATATTTTTAGATATAACTATAACATTATTACATACTTAAAGTAAAATAATTTATCAATATCTTTAAATTTCTAACAAGTATAAACTAGATTTTGAAGAACAGAAGTCAGGTGAGCTGGCATCTCCTGTCTCATCTCCTGACCCTGGGCCTCTCTGCCTCACGTCAGACCTTCACTATTTCACTTTAATCCTTCCCTACTATGCATCAGCAGATACGTTAGTAACAACTGCACTCTGGTTTCCTCAACAGAGTAAAGTCCTGTTTCCACTCAGCCGCAGCCTCGTGCTCCTTCCCTCAGCTCTTTGGGTTTGTTTTCTGTGCTCCCAATTTCTTAAGATAACTCAGCATTTCTGAGTCTGCATCCGCACCACCACCCACTCCTCCTTTCCGGGACTCACTATGTGAACAATCACGTTCTTCTCCCGTTTTTGTGTCTCTCAATGGAACAGTCTTCTCAGTTACATAGTCAAGCTGAAGCTGTGCTTGGTGACTCTGCTTCCTTCTCCTGGCCTGTCCATTGCCGAGTGCGATTCTCTCCCTGCGTGGCTGTGTGTGTCCAGCAGGTCCTACCTCTTCTGGGAGCTGTGGCTGCTGTCTGCATCATGGCTGCTGCGCTTGCTCCCTAACCAGACACGTTTGGGAGCTTCCTCGCATGTATACCCGAGATCTCTGGGCATCTCTCCGCCTGTACTAAGAAGGGACTGACTGACCTCAGCAGACCCCAACTCAGACCAGGAACATTTTCTCCTAAAGGAATTTGGGAATTGGGGACCCTCCATGTAAAGTAGCCAGGAGCCTCCACCAGGAGCCTCCGCCAGAAGGGTTACATCACAGAATGCCAGGAGCTGAGAAGGTGAAACAGAAACCACAAGGTCTTCAACCCATGTCCAACTTCCTGTCTGGGACCTGGGGTTCCTTTCCAAGTCTGACCTGCATCTGTCTCCTCTCCACCTACCCCGGCCTCTTCTCTTTCTCTTCCTAGTTCACGTTAACTTCGCAGAAGGTAGGGGTTTCACTTGAAAAGGATGACAGCAATTCAAAAATAACTCTGATGCCACACCAGCATGGCTCAGTGGTTGAGGGTCGACCTATGAACAAGGAGGTCATGGTTCAATTCCTAGTCAAGGCATATGCCTGGGTTTCGAGCTCGATCCCCGGTGTAGGGCATCCAGGAGGCAACTGATCAATGATTCTCTCTCATCATTGATGTTTCTCTCTCTCTTTCCCTCTCCCTTCCTCTCTGAAATCAATAAAAATGTATTTTTTTAAAGTAACTCTGAGAACAGAACATGAGGGGCTGAAGGGAGCATGCCTCCCTCAAACACCATCCCGTCTACCTTACCCTGAGGACACAGGCTTCATTTGGATCTAAAAGTATATCCCTGGAGAAATTAAAAATGGCAGCAGAGTAAGTGGATGCTGCATGAACACGTTCCTAGGACCAAACTGGAATTACAACTCAAATACAGAAAAACTCCCTGAATAATCATCTGAAGACTCACTGGAGAGAACCCTGATAACTGAGGACAGAAAGTGGAGACCACATAGAGACTGACAATTGCTAAGTAGGTGGTTTTGCCTGGGGGAAAGACAGCTGACCTACCCTATTGGAAAACACCTTGCCCCAAGGAGTGGAGTTGCTGAGACCCATTAAGAGACTGATGATAACAATTAGCCTCCAGGCAGAAGCAATCACCCCACCCTGTTAGGAAAAGCTCTATTCACACTTGTGGATGATTGCCTGAGGGCAATTCAAGACTAAATCCTACAGTCTGCAAGCAGAGGCAGTCTCTGGAGGCTTTGAGTCTTTGTTTGATCTAATTAGACAGAAACAGCCTCTGACACTGTCCTGCACTAGAGACTGGGAGTCATAGCAGATCTACCTAATACATATTCACAAATCCAAACAGGCAGCCAAAATGAGGAGACAAAGAACCCCCAAATAAAAGAACAAGAGAATTCTCCAGAAGAGAGAGATGGAATGGAGATCAGAAATTTATCTGATATAGAATTCAGAATAATTATGGTAAAGATGCTCAACAGAATGAAAAAAGATATAGTAACTATGAAAACAGAAATAAAGAATGACATAGCACAAATAAAGAACACATTGGAAGGAATACACAGCAGATTAGGGGAAACTGAGGATCCAATCAGTGAATTAGAAGACAAGAGTTGAAAAAGTCACTCAATTAGAGACCCAAAAAGAAAAACAATTAAGAAACAGGAGGACACCTTAAGAGAGCTGTGGGACAACATGAAATGTTGCAATATTTGCATAGCAGGAGAGCCAGAAGAGGCAGAAAGGGGAAAAGGGATAGAGAATGTGTTTGAAGAAATAATGGCAGAAAACTTCCCTAACCTGGTGAAGGAAAAGTCACACAAATTCAGGAGGCACCGAGAACCCCCAGCAAGAAGAACCCAAACAGGCCCATGCCCAGACACATCATAATTAAAATGCCAAAATTAAAGACAAAGAGAGAATCTTAAAGGCAGCAAGAGAAAAGCAAGCTGTTACCTACACTCCCATAAGGCTGACACCTGATTTCTCATCATAAACTCTACAGACCAGAAGGGAATGAAGTACTGAAGGTAATGGAAAGCAAGGATCTGAAACCAAGATTACTATATCCAGCAGCACTATCATTAAAAATAGATGGTCAAATAAAGAGCTTCCCAGACAAAGAAAGACTAAAGGAGTTCATCACCACCAAGCTAGTAGTACAAAAAATGCTAAAGGGACTGCTGTAATGAGAAGAAACAGAGAGACAAACCTAGGCATACAGAATTAAAATGGCAATAAATAAGTACCCATCAATAATAACCCTAACTGTAAATGGATTAAGTGCTCCAATCAAAAGGCATAGGGTAGCTGAATGGATACAAAAACATGACCCAACTATATGCTGTCTACAAGAGACCCACCTCAGAACAAAAGACTCACACTGAATGAGTGTAAAGGGATGGAAAAAAGTTTTACATTGAAAATGGAAAAGAAACAAAAGCTGGGGTAGCAATACTAATATCCAATAAAACAGACTTCAAAATGAAGGCCATCACAAGAGACAACAAAGATGAGTACATAATACTGAAGAGATCAATCCAGCAAGAGGATATATCCCTGATAAACATATATGCACCCAATATAGCGGCATCTAAATGTATTTTTAAAAAACTTCTAGAGGACTTTAAGGGAGAGATTGACAACAACACAGTCATAGTAGGGGACTTTAACACCCCTGTGACTTCACTGGATAGATCTTCCAGACAAAAATTTAACAAGGAAACAGTGATTCTAAAGGACACACTGGATCATATGGATTTAATGGACATTTATAGAATATTTCACCCCAAAGCTGCAGAATATAAATTCTTCTCAAGTGCACATGGATTATTCACAGAGATAGACCATGTGTTAGGACACAAAACAAGTCTCTACAAGTTGAAG